AAAGTGTTTAGATGTAGTAGTTTCCCGCTACATCACCAGCATGTAAAGGTAATTGAATACTGAAAAGACCCGAATTTTAAGAAACGGTAATACCGTTTCTTAATATTGGTCTCGGCAAGCATAATGCTAAGATTCTTTAAGTACAGACGTTCTCTAGTGGGTGCTGGGCATTAGTCGTGCATTAGATGAGAATAAATGAATTTTTCTAATGTTCTTGCCACTGGTTGTTTCCGGGCATGAATGATTTTATTTATTTTCGGATAACTCTCAACGCCCCAAAAATACGTTCTCATTTCTCATCGGCACTCAGATGTCGGAGGCCTATTCTTTACTGTGCATAATCTGTGAGCTGCCGGCTTGTGAAATGCTGTGCATGACGAATTTTGCAATAGCCTATTTTCAGCATTCAAACTCTTCACTATTATTTGTAACTACGATAATTTCATTTTCTCCCAAATTACTTGTCAGTTTGAAAATAAAGACATACTGTGTTCAAATTCAAAACCCTGGGAAAGTATTTTTTGTACCTAGTTCACAAAAATAAAATAGTATAACGGGCACATGCTGGTATTACATAATTACACGTCAATTGTACCAGGAGGCCCATCTTTCAATTATGATGAAATTTTACACACAAAGATGGTTAATGCCTCAAATGAACTTTTATCTCAAAATATGAAAACGACTGAGATTATTATAGGAGTCCTCAAAATGTCTCATAAAGCACGGCGCAATATTTACAATCTATGTTAGCTAATACCTTAAAAATAAATGTGTCACTAGAATTAATATGACGTTCCTAAACAAATTAGTTCCAATTATTTGTTGTTGAAATTTTCTGTGTAGAAGGGTAATCTTTGCCAAAATTTGGGAAAACATAAAAAAGTTTATTGCTTTTGCTATCACAAGAAAATTTTGAATTCTCATTGATTCTTGTGCAATCATTACTCACATAAATACTATCGTATATACCGAAATTTGACGCATAATTCACATTGATTCTTCGGTATAAAATGCTCTAAACTTGCTCATAGAAGACTCGGGGCCATTTTCACCTATGTACTAAAAGTAAAATAAAAAAAATTCCCTAAACCCATTTTATAGAAACAGCATTCATTACGAAAATGGTGTGCTATAATGTATGTTAATTCTATAGAATGTTTTTCTTAAGTGAAAAGACTTTGTTAGAAAAATATTGCGCTAGGATCATTACTATACACTCCACGGGAACGATGAGACTTTTATCTAAACAGATTCTATTTTGCAACAGGCAGTATATAGAGTATTATCACCACCATGGCATTCATAGTTTGATTACAATACTTCCATTTGAAATTAAAAGCACCATAATCTTTTGATATTAGAGTGGAGTCATCACAATTAAAAATCAACAGTGCAAATGTTGGCAGCTTTTTAATGCGGAGGATAAAGAGTTAACGAATTATATATATTACATTTTATAAGGAGATTTCAGATGAATAAATTGACTTTTTCGATTTTTTCCAAGGTTTGCCAGGGGCCACCTGGTTAAATTGGGGTAATAACTATGTAGGGAAGACATCCGTTGATTTCACTACTAGTTGCACATGAAAAGTTGATAAAACTTTCCCTAATCATACGTCTGTGTAATTATCAACTCTTCCAATACGAACTGATATAATATGCACTCATAATTGCTACACTACGAAATTATTCATCAGTGTAGTCCAAATGATTGTACAAATTTTGTAAAGTGTCGACTATACCATCGAACTTTTCACATTCGGCTGATCAGTTTGGCATCTAATAAATTTGTAAGAAATTTCGACTCCAGACCGAAAATTCTCCGAATTTTTCGCAAAAGGTCGAAATTTAGATCACACTCTCTGGGAATAATTTATATACCACTTAATTTTTTCAAATTGAAAATTTTTCGGGAATTTTCCAGGTTGCATGCTTCAATTATTGCCACCAATTGACAGGGCCGGGTACTAAACTAGTGACCGAGCTTATCAACATACATGCATCAAGTAACTCATGCGGACTGCTGGTCTGGGTTTAGGTTCAAGGCACGAACAAGTCCTCAAAGAAGGAAGGTAAGGTTAAGTTTGGTTAGGTTAGGTCAATTTAAATTTAGTTGTTCAGGTTACTTTCCCTACCAAAATAGCGATTATTATAAAACCATTTATGATTTAATTAGTTATGCGTACAAGAAAAGATCGCGTAGGTAGCCTTAGTCAATTAAATCAATGAGATTTCTCTGAAGCCATTCCTCGGAAACCGTATTGACTTCGAAGTCTAATTGTTTTTCGAATGTTCGAAAACAACGCAATTCACAAGTACAGAATAAGTGCATAGTAAGTAGAACGATTGAAGCTGTGCAAGTAAACCTGTTTTATGGGGCTCTTGGTAACTGATCAGCAATCCGGTTCCCCGACTGCATACTTCACTGGTGCCCGACGCGTTGCAAGAAGTACAATATGTGCAGCTTGCCGAGCAGAGCTCAGCCAAAAGAAAGGCAGGATGTTCTAAAGCTACGATGTTAATATCAATGATGAAATAGTGAACTCGTGGTAACACAACTTTGCTTTATATATGCTAACATCAGGTAGTCAAGTGGTGTGGGAAATTTTTCATATCATCACGATTTTTTTTTGTTCTATTGTAACTTGAATGGGTTTGCATGGCCGTGTCGTTCATCTTGTATTCTGGTTATAGCCAGGATTCGATCCTTTTACAGCCAGGGTTTGATCATTTTTCAAGTAGAATTAAATCGCGTCGCATTGCCAGTCTTCTCTCTTAATTCGCAATCAATAAATATTCTGCCTTAATACGAGCAACACTGGCAACTTTATCAGCTTAATTTTCATCTTCAATCAACTGGGCTGCAGGAGTTTCTCAAGTCCCGATACTTCTTTCTGGTCTCCTGTTCGCTATTTCACTTCTCTTTGGTTTGTGTAAATTTTGCTAATTATTCCTTAACTTATTCACGCAATGTAATTAATTATTGTGGGATACACCATACAAATTAATTGATCAATTACTTCATTACCTCAAATTATTAATAATTTAAACTTCAACTTCTTGGTACGCGCGTGATCCTTTATATTAGCTGTGGAACCCACTTCTTTAGCTGTGACCAACACTTGTTTCCATTTCTTACAGGTAAGAATTACCTGCAAAATAATATTGAATATCACGATTTTGGATTGGTTTTTATTATTTTCACATTAAGTTAAAGCAAAACACACAAACAATATTTAACTAAAATATGGACAGTTGAGATACATCTATATTCCCAAGTTATTTTAAGCCTTTACAGAAACGCTTTCTATTTCCATAAAAGCTACATTTGGCGTTTTTTGGGCCATTTTCTGTTTTTCCATTTTTAACATTCAGTAGTTGTCTGCCATCATGTTGAAATTCCATCGACCTTGTTATATGCGCTCCATTTCTTTAATAATTTTACGGGAACGTTTTCCATGTTATGTTCCTCACTTACGGCTTCAAGATTTTCTGGAAGTAGTTCACATGTGAGTGAAGGAAATGGACTTTGACACTCAAGTTGCATAACAAAATTTAGTAGTTGTGTAACAATTAAACAACCAGGGTTTTGGTCTTTTTTGTTTGCAAATAAGCCTGTTACAACTTAATTAAATGCATTGCAGGCATTTATTTCTTCCATTTCCATTTTTACGACGAAGGTTTCATCTTCAAAAATTTTTCTAATGTCAGGCCCAATATTCAGATTAGCATCAGATAGACAAGAAAACTTTTCACAAAGATACTTTAAACTCGCTTTCTTTGCTTATTGCTTTCACAAACTGTTTCAGAAACCCCAATTTTATATGGAGTTGTGGTAGAAGTAAGATTTTTTTTGGACCGACTAAACTTTGTTTTTAAAAATTTTCGACCCTTGGAATAGGAGCCTTTGTAATTAGCCTCGTCTGCTCTACATAGTGTTGTTTACTTTTACGGTTATCCCAATGACAGAGGAAACAAGGAAACATTGGTAAGCCACTTGACCGGGCACCATGAAAATATCTTTCAAATACCACAAATGGTTCACTTATGACCAGAATGGCTGAGCTTATCAAAAATAAACTCAATGTGTATTAGAAACGACAACAGAACACAGAATATACTAGAAATAATATAATGAAACCATGTTTGTAAGTATTAAACATGAATACATTGTTTACTTTACAAATCCGTAATGCAAATTGAATTGACCACTAATAGAAGGAATAGTCACCGGGAATTGTATGCATCTTGAGCCAAAAAACAGTTTAAAATATGAAACCGTAGGTGAAATTTGTGACTTTCGCTGGAACTCAGCACTAGAATATGCCTAGAATATGTCTACAATTAATATGCCTGGTGTGGCCTGTCGCCGCTGGAATTACAACTAAATATTGAGAAAAAGCTAAAATTTGGAGTCCTGAATCACAAATTTCTACAGAATAGCTAAAATGTTTATTCTTTACATAGACGCACGAAATTGCCAACTTGTCACGTGCATTTTGGCCATACAACTCAAATTAAAAACTGCCCTAATCTCTGAATGTGTCCAGGAAAAGGCCCATCTGGCAACTTGCGCTTCTACTACATGTTCGCCGAGTGCCAGACCGCTAATTGTCGTTGTTTATAGGTAGCCTCAATTGAGCCCATGGCTGCTGAAGACAAAAGCATATGATAAGCAAGAAATTTTTCACTGCAGTCAATAAACTTTGAAATTATTTCCCTCTGTCACGCCTCATAGACGTAGTTGTGAAGACAACTCGGCATTTCGCGGTTACTATTACGTTATGATAAATAGGATTTTGATTGAAAATTAATATTGCAAGCTCTCAAGTTTCCCCAAAAATAACAGTTGATATAATAGAATTTTTCGAACAAAAAGCTTATTATATTATATATTAAATTATTATTATTATATATTAAAAGTTCCGGTCAAATGACGCGATTTTAGATCTTCTGTGAACAAGGCACGAAAAGGAAAAGAATAGGCGACAGGCCACATCAGGCCTAGCCTTCAGCGCCGACATCACTATAATATGTTATGTTATACAAGGAACGCAAGTCCGATCAAGTGTTTGTCGAAAATCTAAGGAGAATTTCCTGCATCAATGTTGATCCGTTGTAGTACACGAGTTTTGACCACCAAGACTATTGCTTGCGGAAGACGAGCGTCTTGTTGTTAGCGGGCATGTCGAACATCCTGCAGTACAGGAGGCCGTTCTTGAGGGCCTCTTGCTTCAGCACCTGCGTGTCTCTCAGTCCCCAGCTTGGGTCTTGGGACTGACAAAAAGAACTACAATCAGAACTAAGTGCTCTTGAAAATTAAAAGCAATTGACAAATGACGAATCATCAACGTTATGCGTAAAAATTTAAAGGAAATGACCAAAACACTTGTAAAATTTCACTGAATAGGACACTAATTCAATCGATTTGTTTGTTTCGAAGAGAAATTTTACGGCTGAAAAAAAAAATTTTGAAAAGAAATTACCTGCACTTTACCAGGTAGGTATCACTAATAGAGTAGATGCTCTCTTGCTGTTACACAACAGCAATTTGTATAGGTGTAACTAAAATAATAAGGATACGGTCTTTCAAATTTTTAGAAAATGATAAACTAAACTCCTTCTGTCAGCAAATATTACTGAAGGCATTATTCAAGCACTGGTTGACGACTTACCCTAAGGTTCTGGTCGAAGCGAACGTTGCTCTCAGGCTCGATGACGCCGTCTACGGAGTATGGGCCATAAGTGACAAGAAGGCCTCCAGGCCTGAGCACCTTCCCAGCAGCTCTGAAGAGGCCTTCAGTGCAGCTATAGGGCGAGATGTGGATCATGTTCACACACAGCAGCAGGTCGTATGAGCTGCCGCTCAGTGGACCGCGAGGCCACTCATCGGGATCCTATATTAAAAAATTAATTTTTGAAAAAGCAGATGGCGAATCTTTAAAAAAAGAAACTCTCACTGTTTGATAAATTTCTAGTAATCACTGACCAAGTAGAACCACAAATAAACTTCCAAGGTAAACGCACTAATGTATAGGTCCCGAAACTTAAGATATTCGAATTAAAACCTTGGTGATGTCGACGTGCAGGGGTGGGAGGACGTTATTGAACGTCGTGTGGTCGCTGGCATAGGTCGCGATGCTGGGCAAATATCGCTTATCAAACTCCGTCGGTTGAATGACGACGTTTTGCATTTGATTAGCAAAATGTGCGGCGTGCTGCCCCGTGCCCGATGCGATTTCTAAAATCTGTCAGAAATAATGACTGTCAATATTAAAGATCCTAGCACAAAAATTCGTTGCGGAAAATTTTTCGGGAGTGTTCCATGAATATGATTGTTTTTCCACATATTTAATGATGGAGATACTCTTATATTATTAAGTAAAAAAGTTGCTGAAGCTCAAAGACCCTTAAACAATTGTTATAAATAATAGCCAATAGTGATTGAATTATTAAAATACATTCGATATTAACTAGTTCTTATTTCGAGAATGTATTTAAAGTCTCGATAAGCTCCTGATTAAAATAAAGGAATCGAGCATTCAGTTGCTAGCAGGAACATCAACAGTTAATTTCATTATCAAGGTTACTGAAACATGATAGTCAAGGTGCGAATTAAGGTTCCTTCTCGCATTCTAGCAACGTTTCAATCATTTAGCTAACGATTCATTCCGTCATCTGTGTGATCTGTGTATGTCCGGATTCTCAGAATATTTCATCTATATCTAAGAGTTTTTTGAAGAAATATAACATCAACAAATCGAATAGCGCCCTTCCAAAGAGCTCAAGTATCCGTGGCAGGCGCCTTACCTTCACCGGCGATGGGGTGTCCGTAAGGTAATCTTTGATGACAGCTTCCAGAACTTGTGCTATGGGCGCCGCGTTGCGACACGCCGCGCTAAATGTTACCGCTCTCCCAGCGCCCGCCATGTGTTCAGTGATGACGGTACGAATAAATAAACTGCTGTTCTTAGGTCAACGTGCTCAGGTCATAAGACTCGGTGTTTAATTTGTGCGTCGTTCTAGATTCTTATTTCCTCAGAAGCAGCTGACGAAATTATAAACTTAGACTGGATGGGGGAAGTTATTTAACCGCCAATCGTGGCAAAATTTTAAATTGGTCATTCATTTCAGGAATTTGCCTTCAGATATGTCAAGAACTTGACCTCTTGAGAATTCTTACAACGATAATTCCAATTTTGCCATAGTTGAAATTATGGCTTGGTTGAGTAGTAGTATAGCATAGTTTAGGCAATTTCATAGTAAAATTCCGCTTAAATTTATTTTACAATAGCAATGAGCGATTTTTCACGGTGCCAACGAATTAGCCTTTGTTGAGTCATTGCCTTGGTCGAAATCGTGTAGTTTTGACGCGATCGAGAAGCTGTATATTATGAATTGGTCCAGTACTTAAACGACAGTTTGGGTAAAATTTGAACAATTTACGACTCAAGGTCCGGAGGGCAGTCAGTTATCCCCAAGCCTTATGCGCTCCACACACAAAGCTCCTTTGCGGCGAGTCATGACCTGAGATATCGATCGAATGACTTAATTCCTTCCTTTTGTATCCGTTTTTCATCCTACTTTCCTTTGCCAGTCATTTTTCTCATCTGTGAGCGACTTTTCAAAGAGTAGGGCGATCCTGAATGGCCATCACCGTAAAGCTAACGACGATGAGCTAAATTTTGAGAAACTCGGAGAAGAGACCAAAGTTCATATGCTTAAAGATGACCTAGAATTTGAGTTTTAAATTTCATCTGACGCGAGTAATTATATAATAACATAGTTTTATCTCGTCTTTGTCTGCTTTCTCAATTGTTCTGGAGTACAGAAGGTGAGGTGTGAAGCCCTAGCCTCCCTGCACACGGCATGCCAGGGCTGCGACATAAGAAGCGTATGCATAACATAACATAACATAGTGATGTCGGCGCTAGAGCGTAGGCCTGATGTGGCCTGTCAACGATTCTTGAACTTTTCGTGCCTTGTTCACAAAAGATCTAAAATCTTGTCATTTGACCGGATCTTTTCAGGACTGACGATAGTTTGAAATAGCTACTACCTATACTTCCACCGGGTTCTTCCAACATGCAGTAACCGAACGCCTCAAACACAGCTTTTATCTAATGAACCGAGTATAGATAACAATGCAAGTAGAACTCAACGAAGTTGTTATTTTGCACAGAAGCTTATTTTTTGATCCCTGCTGCAATGAAAACAAGTTTAGAAATAAAGAATTTATAAAGAAAATTAGAATTTGAGAAAATACTAAAGTTCCCACAGGCAAAACACGACGATAATACCTCACAACTGGAATAAGTTTATAGAGTAAGCCGACGCAACAGTAGAGTAGTCAGCCCATGGTTGTATTATTTCAACCATGAGTCAGCCCACGCTAGCATGCACTTCAACGCCGTAGGCATCATAACCGAAACAACTATGAATAAAAATATATATGTAAATATGTGTAACAAAACATTCATACAGTAAAGACGGAGAAATCTATCGAACATTCTGAATTGGAAACAAATTGCCAACTTGCCAAGATATGTAAACAAATATTTTGATTCATCTCATCGTACCTTATGTCAAACAGTTCATAATTGGAGAAATGAATTCCATGAAATTATTAAATCAATTCCAAAATTACAGGTCCGTTGGTCGGCAACAGACATTAAAACATTTCCCAAAGACTCAAATCACCAAATGGAGAAAACCCTAAACGAAATGAACTCCTTAAAGAAGCCGGTCGTATACATGACGGCACGTAAAAACGGAGACACGTTAACAATACCCCACAAATACCGATTAATAAATCGATAATTATGATTTGTGACACATAGATACTTCCCGGAGGTTTGGTTAAGAATAAAGATGAGTAGCCTTCAACTTCATTTTAACGAGTAAAAGGCAGGCTTTTGCAAGGAGAGCACGAAGGATTTGCTTGTGATTGCAATAGAATGTCGGTAGGCAATCGATTCAATATAAACCTAAAACATGATTTGAAAATAACACTTTGAAAAAAATATTAAAGGCCTGACGAAACTTCATTCAAATTTAGTTAAGTCCTCCGTAATACGAAGGGAACTTTCACTTACCTATCGACTTTGATTTTAATCGCGAGTTGTAGAAAGTTGGGGTCCAAGATTCTCGCAAATATAAAGTTACTCGTTATGTTGGGCCTCGCAGTCCCTTCATCTTTAAATGGGAACATAAGAACCAACGAAGCAAAATATTTTCTAAATCTCTTGATTAAATAAAATTCCCGCAGGCAAAATACACAGAAATTATTCACACGGAAATTATTCAAGAAACACAAGGTAAGAAAAGGCTCCAAATGGCACTTCGTTCAAAGGCACTTCGTTCACGCTTCACAGTCTGGGCAGAAGAGACAGTCTAGTCTTCATCTTCTACAGAGCGCCATCTCACAGCCTACAAGCTAAGACCTCTTCAAGTCTCAGTCCTGATACAAAGGGCCACAGTCCACATCGCCCATCTCCACATATGTGGTCTTGGTGTGGGTGTAGGCGTCTATAACTGCGGTCCCACACTCGCGTCCCACACCGCTGTGCTTGTACCCCCCAAAGGGCACCTCAGTCGGGTACAGGTTGTACGTGTTCACCCACACAGTACCGCACTGCAGCGCTGCCGACACACGGTGACCTCGCTGCAGGTCTCTGCACAGCACGGGGTGTGATATGTTACATGTAACTCAGGGTGACGCGTGATATGTTACATGTAACTCAGAGTTACGCGTGATATGTTACATGTAACTCAGGGTGACGCGTGATATGTTACATGTAACTCAGAGTTACGCGTGATATGTTACATGTAACTCAGAGTGACGCGTGATATGTGTTATGTGAGTGGAGCTGTGTTGAGATGACATTTTTACTACGTTTTAAACGAAGATATGGTGAACGCATTCGGAGTATTTCTTACTTCAAAATTCTACCTGAAATAGCGATTTAAGCTGAGTAATGAACAAATACAAGTAAAGGACCATGTAAATGTAGATATAAATTTCATACACAATATATTGCAAAGGAATATGAGTTTTACTTGGTGAAGACGGCACCGGCCAAGCCGTAGTCGGTGTTGTTGGCGCGCGCGACGACTTCTTCTTCATCGTCGAATACCAGCAGCGCCACGACTGACCCGAACACTTCTTCCTGCACCACCTGCAAACCGAGGATTCAAAAATTTAAAGTTTAAGGTGAAAACAAAGTTGATTAATTCAAAATTACCAGTATTCTGTGCCACGTGAGGCAGGAAACCTGCACATTTCAAACGCTGAACTCCCAACACCTGAACAAGTTCTCTTCTGCAACCTCTGCGGCATTGTAACACTTGACGTAATTTGGAGCCAAAGGTGTTACTGAAAATTGATGCAGGAAATGTTTCCTTTTTATTTATTTCTAAAATTATATTATGTTATGCAGGGATAATTACATCTAATAATGTCAAAAATCACTAATTTGCTAGGACTACGAATGCAAAATAAGTTTCGTCAGTGATAGGAACACAAGGTAATTTATTAGGTAAAATTGAAAATAAATTATTCACGCTCTTCAGATGCGTACGCAATGAATTTAGTCCTCAATTGACGTGGACTTTTGTCGGATATTAAAATGCAGCCCATGAATCTACCTTTAACCCCATTGCAGTTTCTCTTCTTCGTCGGTTATAAGAAAGCTACCCACAATACTTTCACCCCAACACCTCTTACGGTGCGACTCAATAGTCCTATTTAACGGCGAGAGCCTCAGTCTGGTGATGCAACTTGAACATTTGAAAAACCTCAAAATGACTGCAGGTAACCTGATATAAGCAGTGGTACGTGGTCAGTGTGTGTGTGCCAGACCTTCATGCTGTATAAGCAGTGGTACGTGGTCAGTGTGTGTGTGTGCCAGACCTTCATGCTGTATAAGCAGTGGTACGTGGTCAGTGTGTGTAAGCCAGGCCTTCATGCTGTATAAGCAGTGGTACGTGGCCAGAGTGTGTGTGCCAGACCTTCATGCTGTCAGTGCAGTCTGCCAGGACGGTAGGCTGCAGGTACCAGCCTCCTGCCAGAGGACCGGTCAGCAGTTCACGCTCGCCGCCACACAGCACGCGGCAGCCCTGCAAGGCAACGTATTTGCGTACTCGCGATAAGGATTATAAGCTGATACAAAATATAAGACTAAATAGAGATAGTGAAACAGACGGAAATGCATGAAAGGTCCTTAATTTCTACAATAAATCCATCGTACATACGAGGAAAATCAGACCAAAAGACAGGGATTAACAGCATGTGGCCGGCTTTTCAGGTTGCCTGTTTAATGTTATTTTATTTGAGATTCAAACGCCCATTGAAATACATAAAATTAGGGTCTCTCTGATTATCTCTTTATTTAAAATCTTGAAAAACGAATAACTTGACTAAAGGTTAGCAATGTTTAGCCTTCAGGCGTTTCATAACACAGGGGGAATTTCAATCTCAAAACACAAAGAACATTTCAGCTCTGTTGTTTAATGGCGGGCGCAAACTTTGGGTAACTCTCAAGTCTCGCCTTCAAACTATTCATATGAATCGATTCATACGAGTCCAATACTAAATAACTGACATTAACATATATTCCAACTACACTGCACTCGCGAAAGGTATCATAATGAACAGAGTAGAACCATGTAACACATTGATGAAGAATGAAGCAAAAAATCAAAGGTAATAAGCACCTCTCTCTTGGCAGAGTCAATGTAGGAGAGTACTTTCCTAGCGTGTTCTTCGTGAATTGTGGCACCAACCTGAACAAAGAAATAATGCAATGAGCAAGTAAAAGTAGCATGAAATATTTAGTGACAATTAATAATTGAGACATTCACAGCAAATAGCATGAGCACACAGTTTCCAGCCAATAAGTTCTCACAACGCGGGTGAGAGCATTGGCCAAACCTGAGAACTTCTCCACATTACACCAAAAATTTTAAATAGAATATAGGCAAAAGATCCTGAAAATAGATAACTTGCCCTCCAATTGTTATCGCAACTATATTGGAAATTTTGTGATGCCTAAAGCAGGAAAATAGGTAAGGGAATGCCGACGGATCCATGTCAGCCAACGGCTCTATAAGAATAGCAAAGTAGAAGGAATAAGTATAGTTAGATAGAATATCACGTAAGTACTTAGTCTTAATAGATCATAAGTAGTGTACTTGCAGTGGTGTCGTCGTCGAAAGGGTTACCGATCTTTAGCTTCCGTGTCGCGGTCACCAACTTGTCTGTAAACTCGCCGAGGATGGAGCGGTGGACGAACACGCGAGTGCCGTTAGAACAAACCTAGAGCAAGACATTTACGTCAGGAAAACTAGATTTTCTTTCGAGCAAATAGTAAACGATGATGTATACGTATCAAGCTAGCAATCAGAACTCTAATATTATTTTTGGGCTACCTTTCTCAGTTCGATTCCAGAATCAAATAAATTAGTCATGAGATCTTCTTGCTCCATGATAAGAAATTTCACACTAGGAATACACATGTGTCGAAATGAATATTCTGAGCTTCCATGGACTGAAACCCTAACGTACATTTTTTTCCGACATAATAGATGAATTACGATAAATTAGCCGATTTTATTAAATACCTCCAATGCAAGACATGATGGCCACATCTAGTCCAGCGATAACTCACTTGTCCTTGTGACAGAAAGTTGGCCATCAACGCAGCCTTGACGGCGTTGACGAGGCAGGCGTCGGGGAAGACGATGAGGGGACCCTTCCCTCCCAGCTCCAGCGTCACGGCCTTCACCCCCGCCGCCGCATCCCTCATAACCTGCGGGATGCTTGGCGCTATAGGCCCTCATCCGCCGTCCTACCCTCACCCCCGCCGCCGCATCCCTCATAACCTGCGGGATGCCTGGCGCTATAGGCCCTCATCAGCCGCCCTACCCTCACCCCCGCCGCCGTGAGTGCCCGGAACACACAACACCTCAGCTCATGGGTAGCCCCGGTATACATCCATGTATATTTATTCCATAAGCCTCGGACGTTCTCACTCAGCAATAATTGCAGCAAGAGGAAGCATGCGTGATGCATGCATATAAATATGTTACTCATTGGAGCATGCCAACACAGCCACGTAACAAGAAACTAAGAGGAAGATAACTATTAACTAGTCATTTTTCGTGCAAATACCACAAAACCTGGATTAAAGATAATAAGTAATTATGGGGGTAAATAGTGTAAGCAATCAAGTTAAGGATATCACATAATAATGACGGTAAATAATGTAAGCAATTAATTTAAAGACATCACGTAAAAATGACGGTAAATACTATAAGCAATTAAGTTAAGGACATCACGTAATAATGACGGTAAATACTATAAGCAATTAAGTTAAGGACATCACGTAATAATGAAGGTAAATACTGTAAGTAACTAAGTTAACATCCCGTAATACCTGTACGCCTGTAGGCACAGACCCCGTGAAGGAGACCTTAGCAACGAGCGGGTGGCGGGCGAGGAGGCCCCCGGTCTCGCCCTCGCCCTGCGCACGTCACGACATCAGCACTCCACTATGGCTAATATACCCGGGGGAATTACACTGCCATATGTGACTACGATGCGATATAAGTTATAGGATGATATGTGCTGGCTTTTATTGCATAGATTTTGTACTTAAACTTTCGCATGGAACAAAAAATAAGATATTTAAAAAATTAATCGTAGTGAATAATTTACAAAAAAAAATTGGATTACAACCCCCAACTTGATATTGTCATGAGTGCTCAGCAAATGGCTGAGTGATGGCAAAAAACCTCGAGACGATGCAACACACCTCGAGACAAGGCAACACACCTCGAGACAAGGCAACATACCTCGAGACAAGGCAACACACCTCGAGACAAGGCAACATACCTCGAGACAAGGCAACACAAGGCAAGGGACGAGTGTCACCTGCACGACGTTGTAGACGCCGTCGGGGACGCCGGCATCACGCAGCACCTCGGCGAGCGTGACGGCGGTGACGGGCGTGAACTGCGAAGGCTTGTACACGAACGTGTTGCCGCACACCAGCGCCGGCGCCACCTGCGCAACATGTCATGTCATGGCCCGCGCCACATGCCATGTCATGGCCTGCGCCACATGCCATGTCATGGCCTGCGCCACATGCCATGTCATGGCAGTCTTATGACACACGCGTCAACATGCGCCACATGCCATGTCACGGCTGTCTTATGACGCATGCGCCAACTTCACACGCGCCCTCACTTCACACGCGCCCTCACTTCACACGCGCCCATCACTTCACACGCGCCCATCACTTCACACACGTTCTTCACTTCACACACGTTCTTCACTTCACACACGTTCTTCACTTCACACACGTTCTTCACTTCACACACGTTCTTCATGCCATACGCGCCCTTCATTTCACAAGCGCCCTCAACGTCGCAGGCGCGTCCACAAGTCCAAACGCTCCCTTCACGTCATGTGCACACTTCAGGAGACACGCATTTTTCATGCTATTATCATGATGTTCTAGGATTTTAGGAGAAATTCTTCGTTCACAAATATGTACGAGACGGCACGCTACAGGTACTATTTTTTTATACACAATACCCGCGATCAGCAGTCACTGCAGTGCTGTCAATCCGTTCCTTAGCATCCTTAGTAGTATATGATTCAGACGTAGCAGTCCCAGATCACGCTAGAGCGCTGCCTTCAGTCCCGGCAAGCAAGTCGTCCTCGCTGCCTACTCTCATGGGCCAGTCCTAGACTGCCGAGTAGCTGCCCTCAGTTGGGCCAGCTTATGTTGGGGCCAGCTTTGGGCCAGCTTATGCATGATACTGTGGCGCGTTCTTCACGTCACAAGTGTGCTGAGTGCTTCTTCAGCAGCGTGCGAGGGCGGACGATCAGAAATTGTGCCCAGGAGAACATGAAGGTCTCAAGGATGAATTCCCTCCCTCCTAGCTTCATAGGCAGGAAGTTAAATAACCAAGCTCATGCCACGGAAAAAGGATCCTTCCAGCAGAGATTGAAATCTGACCGCCGCTCTGTTGATAGTGAACCTGAGCAATCAATTGAGTGCTAACTGGTAGCTGATTGCCTCTGTCTAGTGATGTTGCTAACCGCTTCGGTTTGCCGTATCTACTAAGAGTGCAGGGTATAACTGTTTCTTCTGCCGTCACCCTGCTGATGTTAAGTGCAGATAAAATATCGCGTCTTTTTTTATTATTTACGAACTTTATTGCTCTGCAATACGACAGTTGTGATTCTCGTATTTTTTTGGTGGTTCTGAAGTGATTTTATCAAGAATTTGAGTATTTTATTTTATAATTAGTATTTTATAGGCATACAGGCTCTATTGAACCTGCACCGTCAAACGGGGTAAAAATGGACGGTTTTGAGCGTTTTTTGTTAATAACTTCTTACCATGAAACATTTCAGAAACAAGTTTAGGCTCATTTTATAGCTCTTTGAGAGGGCTATCCAATGGCATCTTTATAAAATTCCATATGCTATTCGTAAGATGCCAGACGCAAAATAATACCGTCCCGATTTACCCCTGGGAATGGGGTAATCCAGGACACTTGCAATAAAAGTTAATTTTAAAACGTTTGAAACATGCAGTGTACTCATCCATTACTAACAGTACTCTGAAGTCCTCCTCTTTCATTGTAGATGATGTAGATGTAAAATAAATGACATTTTCTGTGATTTTTACTTGTTTTTTCTTTATTGATATACTTGCAATAAAAGTTGATTTTTAATACGTCAGAAGCATGCAGAGTGTACTCATCCATTACTAGCAGTACTTTGAAGTCCTCCTCTTTCATTGTAGATGATGTAGATGTAAAATAAATGACATTTTCTGTGATTTTTACTTGTTTTTCCTTTATTGATATGATATTACCATATTCACTAATTACCATATTATTAATGTGATATTACTGTATCCATGGACATGCCATTGAGCATTGACAACAACCTTGTCCACTGCAAGCTTCACATCAGCAGCCATGTAGCGTTTCTTCTGTATCTGTAAGCTTACAAGATGGTTTGTAATTTCGCACAATTTTAATAGAGTCTAGTGATTTCACTATAACAAAAAAGATCGTGAAAAACATACCTGAAACAGAAAATGTTTTAGTGACAACCATCATATGTTTTGGAGAAATAAATCATAGTTTAGGTCAATTACTTTTCGTTCTATGATGCCCGGTGCACAATTCTACATATAGCATTCTATGTACAATTTTGTGACGACCGATGATGCACTAATTTTTTGATAAGTGAATTTTTTTCGCTGAGCGAGGTAAATGTAATCAAAATTCTTTGTTGTTAATCAATTTTTTTGTTAACTGGAACCTTTGCTAACTGAGGTTCTACTGTAAATACATTTTTAAGGGTGTCCCTAATTACCCCCGGGGGGATGTCCCGAGTAGCCCCGCCGTGAGGAAATGGCTGCCATATTTTTCTTGGAATGAGATAGGACAATACCGTCAATTACGTTTTCAAGCCGACACCTGGGTGCAACTTTTATGTAAGTAAAATTTTTTTAATACGGCAAATATTTTTTTGCTCCAGACCTTAGCAGAGGTACTTTTCCAAAATCGCTCTTTTCACACTTTTTTTCAGCGATTTTTAGAGATAGTAAATATTTGATTTCTTGACTAGCTTTATACATAATAGATAGTAAAAATGTTGAAGTTTACGCCACTATTTTTAGTCTTGCAATATTTTGATTAGTTTAGCTGCTTCAACATTTCTACGAAATATGGGACGCGCGTCCCGATTTACCCCGCCCGTCCCTTTTTACACCGTTTGACGGTATGCTTACAAAATCCACAGTCAACTTATTCATGATCTCGGTCCCGAGCTTCAAAGGTTCACCCCCTGACAATTAAGTGAATGGCAGTTTCTAAAATATTCAGTTCGGCTTGTGGTAACTCTAGCCGATGACACTTACACGCCACATGGGACCTAGAAATTTTACGCGGCTTACACGCCAGACGCGTTCTTCACGCCACACTCGTCCTGCATGGCAAGTGCGTTGTAAAAGTCGCATGCATCCTTCACGTCACACGAGTTCTTCACGTCACACGAGTTCTTCACGTCACATGCGTTCTTCACGTCACACGCATCCTTCACGTCACAGGCCTTATGCAAGTCACATACGTCACTGTAATACCTTCTTCAATGCTTATAGAAAAAGTTTCACAATTCAGATAGATCGATTTTGTTGGGACCTCACACCAATATCTGGCAATATTCATTTCAATGATCACTGATAAACCCCTGTCTGAATAACTGATAATGCCACTGCAAGGCTTGTGATCACACGTGGAGGACAAGGACCACCTTCCAGACGGCGGTCTGCATGGGGAAGTTCCAGGCCCCAATGCCGGCCACGACCCCCAGCGGCTCGCGCACCACCAGCGCGAAGCTCCCGTTAGCCAGCGGCACGTGTTGCCCTGCGCAGTACGTGTTACTTATACAACCTTCAGACTCCCGTGAAATAAGTTTATGTCCACAATACGTAATACTCATGACAACCTCCCGACTCTCACGCTATAAGTTTACGTCCCCAATACGTAATGCTCATGACAACCTCCCGACTCTCACGCTATAAGTTTACGTCCCCAATACGTAATGCTCATGACAACCTGCCGACTCTCACGCTATAAGTTTATGTCCACAATACGTAATGCTCATGACAACCTCCCGACTCTCACGCTATAAGTTTATGTCCCCAATACGTAATGCTCATGACAACCTCTCGACTCTCACGCTATAAGTTTATGTCCCCCAATATGTCATGCTCATGACAACCTCTCGACTCTCACGCTATAAGTTTACTTGTAGTGGATTACAAACAACATTCCACGCAAAACGCTGAATTGTTAACAGCAAAGATCGTAAAGTCATAGGAGACTTTTTTTGTTTCAAGCAGCGGACCATAATTAGAACTTAACAAGTTTAGCTGGAATGAAATAGTCAATTATTTTCCATTAATATCAACATTTAGTGTGTAAAAACTTCGTTATGCGGATCTTCTCCACGTAAGCTCTTATTGATATCCACAGAACAGCACTCATGCAACAATTATTTATTGAAGCAAACAGTATTTATTTAGTACACTCGATAAATAAGTCAGAAGGGATTTCTGAAGAGGTAGTCTTCAGAGGAGAAGAGAGCTCTATATCAACAACAAGACACAAAATACATAAGTTCGTGGTAAACTCAGGCTCGCCTTTCTTTAATACCTACTTAATAATCGCTTTCGGTATACCCGCTATTGTGTCTATTCAAGATAAATTCCTGTCACAGAGATATACTGTAGCTAAAGAATCATGGAAGGTTTGGAATATGAGACACATCAAAAAAAATTTGCCCAATAAAAATATTTTTTCTTTTAGTTTTGATGAGATAGAAATAATTTCGTGAGTAATTTATCTTCATTTATTACTATAGACTTATTTTCGAGTCTAGAATATGAACAACTACAATCCACCCATTCAAAGACCTATATACGTATCATATAAAATTTTAATAAAATATTTCTTATGATTTCTGGACCCCAAACAATTAAAAATGGCAATAGGAATAGACGCGAACATATGAAACAATATCCAAAAGAAATGATGATGAGTTTACTGACTACTGTGCTATATTTCGGAGGAGTGCTGCATCTCATACCGGAGAATATATAAACATTATGAAATAAATTCTAGAAGGAGTTGGCAGACGAAATTGCTAAACATTTGCACAGGAAATGATACCCACATGAAGAATGCATGGATCTGATGAAGTTAAAATTACCACGCCATTACTGCCATGGCTGCAAGTGGCAGATACCTCAGGTTAGGCCTCTGCATTCTTCAGCATTGAAGCTGAATTCATGTAATCAAAAATTACTAATTAATTGATAAAACTCATGCATTACAATTAAAGAGAAAAGCATTCACATACCATCATGAGATCCAAATTAACAAATTGAAATAAATCCTAAAATAGGAACAAAAGTAAAGGTATTTCTTGACATTTGTTTACCCGCCACCGAGGGCGCTATGCCACCGTAGAACTCGAAGGCGTCAGCGCAAGACTCGATGTCGAGCCGAGCTTCCCAGATGGGCTTACCGGTGTCGCGAACCTGATGGTAAAGAATGAAGTTAATGTTTAGATATTAATTATGATATGTGTAGTATGACAGGCTCGCTCTTGCCGGTGTCACGAACCTGCAATGATAAAGAATGAAAATATTGTTTATATATTGCCTATGATATATTTTATATTACACGCTCGCTAAGCCTGAGGTCAGGTCAGAAGCGCACAGATAAAATAGAACATTTCATGTCATTACCCTCTGATTTTGAAATGGTCACTGGAAGAAGATAAATAACCATCAGTAGCAAATACGAGTATTAACTTCAAATAAAATAAACATCAAAATAAAGGAGATGAGATTCCATAATCGAAATGAACTCGTAATCCACAAAATTATAATAACCAATACCTTCACATTACTCCTAATTATAACCATTCTTTTCAGTCAAGTCCTAATTATACAGCCATTCCTTGCAGTTCAATCTTTATTCATTTAGTGACAGTAAAAAAAAAAAATAACATTTGGCAGCGCAATTTGAAAGTTTAGTATTGCATTTACATAATTGAAAATACATCACGATAAATTTAGTTGAAAAACATACCTCGAGGTTGACGATGTCATGCAAGTTCTCCCTGATGACGGCGGCAGCCCGCATCAACAGCCTGCCTCGCTCCCGCAGCGACAACTGACACACGCATGCAACTTTCATTATCCATATTGAACTAATATTAACTAACTTGAGAACTAATGATTCTCAACTCATAGTATCAAAGTTATTTTTGGAAAAATTTGATTCAATCAAGCATTTATAATTTTAGATTTTGTGAAAAGAAATAGTATGCTATCCCTCGAGACATCATAACGCTAGCTGGCTACTATATAAGTTTACAGCGGCAGCATAAGCTTGCTTTACACGCCACACTCGCAACTAAAATTCGCTACCCAAAGGTAACCTGGTGTGGCCAAAGCCCTCTAAAGGTTTTCTCTTCACATCACCTCATCTTAGTTCGCCACTTATTTCCACTGCATCTCACGTCAGGGTTTTCAATACAAATAATTGAATATGAGGTAAATTTTGTTAGTTTTCGGCACTCATTTTTAATTTGTATTTATAAAATAACGAGGTATTGTAGCAGCCAATAATTTAATTTTGATTGCAGTTCTGCTATGACCACATGTCAGACGTAAAACTAGCAATCGTTTCGCGGACAGCAATTTGTTCCTGTAACGTGTGCATGGTTGATGCCAAAATATTTCTACGTAATGTAAGAGCCTTATAGCGCCTTTCCAAGCTGCGCAGGCTTTATCAGCGGCAAATAATTGAAAAATAAGATAAATGAAGGGCCCGTAAAAAGTAATTATTTGAAGATAAAGAAGTTATAGGGCTAATTATTATGAAGGCTAATGCAATTGATCATCTCGATCGCTCTATATACCTACGAGGAAGAGTGAGCGCTATCGAGCGATTCGGGCACACAAAGTTTGTTTGATTGAACAGCCAAAGCGTTACAAATGACAAGTTTACTTAGCTGTCTCAGGAGAAATTCATTAATACTGTTTACAAATTTTTTTTCATGTAAGATTGCATCGCACATTTGATGTGACACAAGAGCACACATAACCCTCTCTTAATCTTGCTAAATTATTCTCTGAATGAATTCACGTGCTAGCAATGCATCATACACAAGAGTAATGAATGGAAACGCTTTCAAAGGAATCGTTGAGCCTCCCCTGAGAACAGTTGTTACGTAGGTTAATGTCTGCTGACAGTAGGTGAAATGAACGCAGTACAGATGTGCTGTACGCAGTACAGGTGTGCTGTACGCAGTGCAGGTGTGCTGTACGCAGTGCAGGTGTGCTGTACGCAGTGCAGGTGTGTGCTGTACGCAGTGCAGGTGTGCTGTACGCACCTGTCGCCAGGCGGGCAGGGCAGCGTGCGCACACGTCACGGCGTCGTCCACGGCGGCCGCGTCAGACGTGGGCACCTCGCACAGCACACCGCCCGTCGCTGGCTCCAGCACCTGCGGGCGAATGGCCATGGAAAGCTATTCACTTTAGTTATTGTTATGGGAGGAGCAAGTGAGCACTGTTCTATATGAAGTCTGACTGATGAATGAGGCGGCTGAGCAAGTGGACGCCCAGTACGGAAACTTCTTCCAGCATGTTCGGCAACTCTGGTGAAAAGTGCTCGTGCGGTCATACCGACGTAGCTAGATGCACATTGTGCACAACTACCAGAACTTGCTTTCACCAGAGTTGCCGAACATGCTGGAAGAAGTTTCCGTACTGGGCGTCCACTGGCTCAGCCGCCTCATTCATCAGTCAGACTTCATACAGAACAGTGCCCACTTGCTCCTCCCGTGTCCATCGATCAATTTAAAATTCTTTATAGCGCTAGCAGCCAAACCGATCTACGAGTTATTGTTATGTTTTAGTTACGATTCATTTATCATATACTAGTCAAAACTCACGAATGTCCCATTGGCACGACTAGGTTGTAACTACGTCCAGCAGACACTGCTGTCAGGCTAATAGAGGAAGCAATCAAATTATAAAAATTATTCCTTGAGACATTATAAAGTTCTGCATTTTTCTCAAATAACACAGAAAGTGTTATTTGAGTTTCCTCAAATTAGTTTAGCGACGTGATGAGAGATCTTGCGAATGCCGTGCTGGCCGAAATAGGCATCCTGCTGCCACCTATCGAGCAGTGCGCGACAACTGTGTGTTCGTCATCACTGACAATAGGCCGTTGCTACGGCGGCAACACAGCGACCAACGAGCGCTCTGGCGTTCGACAGATAAACTCATATGAAGAGATCATACAGGGGCTTCGGGTGTCGTAAGCGTGGAGATATTACATGTATTTTTAAACAAAATTTCTGCTGTGCGAGGCTTTAATCGCGTCGCAGCTGACGTTGCCTACAGTGCGTGCGCTCCCTAACAAGCAGTGTGCCACTGATCCGCTGCCGACGTCGTTACTTTTGGAGAATGTTGTAACCCTAGCAACTTTTCTGGTCAAACTTTTCAACTGCTTCATCACTGGCGATATTCCAATGAAATTTAAATCTGCTCAAATTACGCCTCTATTGAAAAAAATCAGACCTGGACGATCGGATCCCAAATCATATCGACCCATCTCACACCTTTCGATTTTGTCGAAACTCCTGGAACGCGTTGTGGCCCGACAGCTGAACAACCATCTTCAGAAGTCCGGTCTCATGCCTCGCCTGCAGTCTGCATATCGTCATCTCCACTCGACGGAAACCGCTGTGCTGAAGATGCTTTCAGACATACTGCGTTCAGTAGATCGCGGCGACATTGCGGCACAAGCTTTACTCGACCTGTCGTCCGCGTTTGACACGGTCGACTACGCCACTTTATTGCGTCGACTTGACGTATTTTTAGGCCTGCGCGGCACAATGCTGCTGTGGTTCGAGTCCTATCTCAGCAATAGATTCCAATGCGTTCGATGCGGAAACCCTTCTTCTACGCCATCGTTGGTCACTTGCGGCGTACCACATGGATCAGTTCTCGGCCCGATCCTCTTGCTGTTATATACTGTCGACGTATTGCACATAATCGATTCACATTGTTGGAATCCACATATGTTGGCCGGCAACACATAAATTTATGCTCTTTCCGTAACATCGGCTCATTCGTTGCAGGTGTTTCGTCGACACCTAATGACGGAACTATTTCGTAGAGCCCATGAATCTAGTGCTTACATCATTTTTATCTGTTCTCATCCTTTCTCGTGTCTATTTATTTTTCGCTTGCTATTAAACTTATATGTAACGTGCCCTCTAAGTTCACTTGAACCAAACACCACGACAACTGCTTCGTAGAATAATAATAATCTCGTGGTAACACTATCAACATCGTCGGATACTTGGAAAGAAGTGAACCGATTCTCTGTCTGAAATATACCGTGTTTAGGCTACGTAAAACCCAACTATATTAATAAAAATATTGCCTTGTAAAACACCACTGCATACTTCAGTTTCTCTTCGTGGTTATGAGGATACAAATATACATCTCTAAAACAGTAATCGATGCATATTGAAATTGCCGTGACATGAATGGAGCGAGACATGAATTGGCAGTGGCACAAAAAAATGTTATATTTTGATACAAATTGGATTCACTATAATTTTACGTTCATTTTTTTCCAATTTGAGACAATAGTTTTTTTTCTTCAAATATTAATAAATTACCAACGATAACATTTAGGATTAGTTATAGTGAATCTGGATAATAGTTTATTCTTATTTTCAGCCAAACAAAAGTTTTTGGTAACTAAAGTAATTTTGAACTATAACTTGAATTGGATATAATACTATTGGATGATGTTATCAAGTTATTAAATCTTTATGATTACAATGAATTTTGACTAGTACTTTCAATGACATCGGTTCAGAGAATTCACCGGAAGGGAAATTCTGGAAACCATTACAGAACGAAAATAAATCCTGTATTAAATTAACCGAAAACAAGGCTCACCTTGATTACTCTTCCGTCGACTGTGGCTGGATTGCATCGTTGACCGCGGACGTAATTCCAGGGGCCGGTGAATGTGGTGGTGAGGCTTCGTGACGTCACGTGTGAAGGCGTGGCCGTGGGCGGTGCCCGCAGCAGGCAGCGCAGTACGCGGAGTGACACCTCTAGGTGCATCCTTTACTCGACGCTGCAGCGCCCTAAAAATTATTCCTTAGTTTATATTATATATTAATTAACAGTTGCCAATGCTATTCGTGCATTAAGCCCTGTTAATAAAAGTTCTGTTGGTAGACAACGGGTTAGAAAATTGCAATTAAATGGTGGGAGAAAGGCCGAACGATATTAGATAGGCCGTGAAGAACGTCTACTAACGGGTGGTTTTTAATAAATTTCTATACTATACTATACAGTACAGTAGATTATAGTAGTATCGACGTTGAAGAATAGGCAAAGTTTGGCCCGTCACAGATTCTTACAATTTTCTTTACCTTGTCTCCTTGAGGCCTGAGAACTGGCCCTTTGGGCAATCAAATCAGCCGCTCTTTGTCCGCTTCGGCTCAAGGTTTAAAGGGCAGCCTATAGGCAGCTTGTACGCTCGGTATGACTCGGCCCGACCAACTTTTCTCTAACTCTCAAGTGACTACTACGTAGGTAATGAGATTCTAACCAGAAGCTGATTTCGCTGGGCCAGGCAGACCCAGAATAACTTTAGGCCGAGTGTAGCGCCTTTTGGGCAGAAGTATTGGCGGCACCTGAATCTTGTTAGGTAAGCAAACCACGGATAAGAGAGTAAAAAAAGAATAAGACAACTCCACAGCGCTGGGCGCTTAGCCGTCGAGGCTTGCCTCGCGTTGTCAGAGCTGAGAAGCTCAGATCTATAAACAGGGTCGGTATAATTCATAACATAGGAGAGCACGCAGACATGAAATAATTCAGGGACCGGGGGCTCATTAATGCCCCTAACACTGACAATAAATGAGTGAATCGAAATTCACAAATTGTCAGCATTGCTTGAATGAAAGTAATTTTCCTTGGCAAGAAAAGTTCACGACTTTCATTACTTATCTGGGCAAGGAAAACAAACTACAAAATGAACTCCAGATAATGGCTGTCAGTGTACCCTGCGGCAAACAGTTCATGCATCGTTTACACTGCCTTGTTCAGCAAATTTCTATGACGAATAATGCAGTAAAATGTATTCATAAGCAGAGCACTTACCGTAGACTTGACGTGCGATATTTGTTGGCACTTGCACGAGCGTTGACGCAACACAAGCTGACCTTCGGTCAACGAATATAAATTAGATAACAAATAAGCTAGATAAAAAATAAACTAGAAATTTTCCAGGTGATCAGGTGTGTGCGCGATAAACATAACCTCAGGCACACGATCTCTCGCGCAAGGTTATGGGCAACATGGGCTTAAAACAATAAAAAATTATAACCACGAATAGTTATTTACTAGCCTGCAAATACATCAAATGTAAGACGGCTGAGATCGAGACATTTCAGACCATATGCTGCCTGTACAATAAAATCTGCTTCCTAAATCTGGTTTAGTTCTAAGACTAGAAATTGACTTGTACAAAATATTTGTAATAAGAAGCTTTAACAGTAATTGGAAATAAATATCTATCTTAATTAATAAGCAAAACGTGATAAATTTCAAATGAGGAAAATTAAGATCAAGTAATAAATATAAATACGATACCGTGACCAGGTTGAAATGGAATACATGGACGAAAAGACCTGCTGCAGCACAAATATCACAGCGATGCACACCAAACATTCATGACGCTTACAGTAGCGCAAACAAAATAACAGAGAATGAGGCTCGCTGGTCTCAATGTATAGAGCGGCAGGGTCACCTCTTGATCTGAAATTCCAGGCTAAATTCACGAATAAAATTATTTTTATAATTGAAAATCGCTTAGCAAAAGAGTCTTAATTCAGAAGCTAAATCCTAACAATTAATGAACGAATGCAAACGAATGAAACAACTTTTCACATGAAGCGAGTCCATGAAAAATCTCGAGTGGGCATGAGCAATAAAAGCTGAAAAATATCCATTCTTTTCATGAAAGTTCTCAATTACCAAACCTATGGCAAGAAAAAGCAATGAATTTTAATTCAAATCCTATACAACAAAAATTGTGCTCAGAATACAACAAATTAATGAGATTTTGTAGCAGAAAAAGTCAGCCAAGACGAACCCTGTCGACCGTGGGTTTATACATAAGTCCCGAAATCTGTAGTTTATTATTGATAAACTTGTGGCCGGAACGTAAGGTATTGCTGCATTCTTCATGCGTTAATATCCATTTGACATCTCAAATCCATCTTATTTGTAGTCATGTCTTGCAGGGTTGGTGATTTTTTTGATTTTTTTAAAAAAATCAAAAAAATCAAAAATCAATGATTTTTTTGATTTTTTCATGATTTTTTTGATTTATTTGATTTTTTTGATTTTTTCAACTTTTTTGTCTTTTTGATGTGTTATTTTTTATGTTGCAATTAGCCTACTAACAATAACAGTATATTGATCATAATGGATGGCTAAAAAGGGCACTTATTGCCTTCAATAATGGCCAACAGGCCAAGGTTGTGTTTACCACTTAGGGATTTTTGGGTAAACAATTATTGGTAAGTCTATTCATTAGCATTGTAAAGTTTGTATGGAGCAAGGTAATAAGCTAAATATTGACCATTTAACTGGCTTCAATATACAAAAACACTCCAGGAATGCAGATCTTCTAAACATTGAAGAGTTACATAACAGTACGTAACAGATAGGTAGCTGATAGCACAGTGCACAGCGCTATCAATAGATCCACTATTTTTATGTCCTAAAAATCTACCAGACTCTACCCTCTATACACACCGACTAGTAGTGACTGTAGATGGTAGCACAGTGCACAGCACTATCAATAGATCTACGTACTAGTTTTATGTCCTATAAATCTACCAGAATCTACCCTCTATACACTCCAACTAGTAGTGACTGAGTGACTGACTGCACTGTTCCCATTTAATTCAGACCAATAAACCAATACTAAACGTAAACTGAACGATAACCAAACAAACCTCATACGACTTGAAGCAAGACTCAAGTTATGAGAAAATCTAATACTGTTTGAAATAAACATGTGCATAATTCAAACATTTTATATCCATTCACTGCATTTATTTATTTTATATATAGTCTTATAATTGTAATTGTTTTGTTTCTAGTTTTAAATTCACATATTTAAAGATATCGAAAAAATAAAAAAAATCATGATTTTTTTATAAAAAAATCAAGTGATTTAATCACGTGATTTAATCATTTTGATTTAATCATTGCCAACCCTGATGTCTTGGCATCCACGCCATTGTGACATGCATCGAAACTTTGCTTAACATTTAGCAATGCTTGAATGTCTTAGCAATATACAGTTACGTTAATTACAAATAAGAACATCAACAAACATTGAATGTTTTACGTTACATTCCCTATAGAAATGGACAGGTCATGAATTAATAATTATATACAATAATTCACGCCAGAAATCTAAATTTCATCAAGTTCGAGGATCAGCATGAAATAAAATGTACAATACCACCAATACTCGTAAAATACTCACCTGCCATAATTTAATGAAATAAAATTAATTCTAGACAAAAAGATATCTGAATATATAAATAAATTCAGGTTTACTATAATATTTTTTATCCAAATTCCAAAGTTATGTGAATAAAGATTTGGTTAAAAATGTAGCCCAAACTAAGCTAACGACTAGGTTAAAAGGAACTCTAATATATAATAAGATATATATATAATAAGACTAGGTAATAAGGAACTCTACACTGCAGAATTGATCACCGATGGAAAACACGTCTGCTTAGGAAGGGATCTCCCACAGAGATGAAAAGATGTGGTTTTCCGTTGACTTACGCATTTGCGTGTATCGCTTGAATATTGTCCAGTCAAATGCATCCCTTACCCTCAATGATTGATATAAGTTAGCATATTGGATTATAATGCATTACTCACAATAATAATAGGAGAACAGTTAAATGAACGGATTAAAATGATATATCACAGCAAAGACTAGCAGTCTGTGTTCGAGATAAACTGATATATGTTGGTAGCGGTCACCTCCTTCAGAGAAAATCTATCAATAAAAATCGGCGGCCTCTGAAGGATATTTGAAATATCTGCGTAATTGCCCAAGAAATAGGAAAGAGTACTTTTCATACCATCTGAAATCGCTTACGTGAATTTTCGTAGAGGCGGCTTCGCCTGACGCCAACCGATGATATCGTAAGCAAATCAAAATGAGTGTCGGAACAAATCATTGATTATGTTACCCGTCCTGCGGGCAAGGAGTTGCACATAAGCAAGAAAGCACATGAAGAAGGCAAGAAGAGACGCAGGAAACGTTAAGATTTTAGTGGTACCTACACGCGCTTCTTCAGCGTTAGTGCGATTGAATTTAGTTAAGAACTTAAGATTAATAGAGCTGAGTTACTTTTAGTTTATAAATAAATTCTCATTTTTAATTGATCTCATTTCAATTGATGCCATAATCTGTGGCTGAAATGGGTAATAATCAGATTCAACAAATTCTTCAATGTAAATTTCCAAATATCTTGCGTAATTCACGATTTCATGACATAGGCATAAACTGAATCGATCCACGGAACCACTGAAAATTCATTTAATTCTAAACAAATGCTCTATTCTAGGAGAAATATATATTGAACATACACAAGTAAAAACTGTTTTGCTAGATTCTTAACCAAATGGAACATTGATCGCAGTAAACTCTATAAATTAACCCAAGACACATTCTTCCGTGCTATGACTACGTAACATAATGCACACAGATATAAGCTAATTACTGTATACGCTTTATTGCCACGACTTCCAAACTGACTAGCTAAACACTGCGTGCTCTTCACTACATCAATTATAACAAAAAAATCTATAGCTGCGGGGAATAGCTGTGATTTTGGCACATCTCAGCAACAATAATATTCTGAATACAAACATTCCTGCGTTAAAATTCTATCGTTTAACAAAAACATAATACTTTGGTACTGGTCACTAGATCATCGAAGAGCTGGCAATAATTATAACGCGAGTCACGCCTGAACAGCGCGCGGTCCTCTGCATATTGCGAACTCGCGACTGCCAAGCTGACGACGATCACATCAAGTGTTGGCGTCATGGAGGTGATCACATCAAGCATTGCTGGCATGAGGGTGATCACATCAAGCATCGCTGGCATGGAGGTGATCACATCAAGCATTGCTGGCATGAGCTGGCATGGAGGTGATCACATCAAGCATCGCTGGCATGGA